AGGTCTTCTCTAGTACCCCATTAGGTTTAAATTTAAACCGAGTCCTCTGTAATGTGCAGTTTAAAGTATAACATACAAGACGTCTCATATACAAGTTGTGTCAACATCTAGTTTATAAAGATTAAACCCGAGGTCTACATATGTAAAATGTTAAGTTATAACACATAGTTAAGGTTCCAGAGTCTCTGTAAAGTGCAGTTTAAAGTAAACCGAAGTCTCTGTAAATGTGTCAGTTTAACAGTGCGTTATCTAAACCCGTAGGCAAAGATCTCTCGAGTAAGAATCTTGATTCTGGTATAGTTTTAAAGTCAAACATCTTCCTTGATGGTAGTCTGTTATATGTCGTTAAGTTAATGACTTCACAAAACTCGAGTCAATCTAGTAAATGTATACCGTACTCTAAAGTTAAAACCTCCGATCAATACTTGCTAAGACAATTTTTTTTTAGTCTCCTAATATGCTATAAACAGAGGTCTCTGGTACATGGTGTTACGGAGTTTAAAGTTACAAACACAACTGATAAATGTGTTAATGCTTTATAACTTATTATAACCGTGATGTTTCTCTTGTATAATCTAGATTGTACAGCTTTAAAGTTTTTTAACACCTCCCTTACCGGTTCTATACAAAAATGTTTGTCCATTTAGTGGTTATTCCCATTAGTGGGAAAACCGAAGCTAACTAGATAAATGTGTGTTAGTGTTTAATAGTTATTAGGAAACCGAAGTCTCTGTAATGTTTTGGTCATCATAAAAGTTAAACCTTGAGACGTCCCGCAGTTGAAATGTGTAACAAGTTATTACAATAGGGTAAACGCAAATCTCTTGTAAAAATTAGCTCTGCATATGTTTTAAAGTTCTTTTGAAACCTGAGTCTACTGTAAACTGTCTAGTGGTTTTTAAGGTTTCAAAAAGTTCAGGGAACCCAGAGTCTCTTGTAAATCTCGTGTCAACACCATAAATTAACCCCGAGGTTCTGTAAAAGTGTGTTGTTAAAGTTTAGATTCTTCCACGAGTCTCTGTAATATTGCCGACTGTAGTTATTCACACGCTAAGGTCTTCAACCTGAGGGTATGTCCTTATCTGTCAAAGATGTGTCAGTTTTTAGTGAGTGTAAACCGAGTACACTGTAAATTTTGTCCATTTAAAAGTTAAACACGAGTCTCATGTACCAGATTTGGTCTCATTGTTGTTCAGAGAAGGCTACTACCAGCACTCTACATATACTATGTGCTTCTTACGATCTAAAAGGTCATACTTGAGTCTCTTTACATCATATATCTGATTCATACTCGCACCTTTCAAGATCCGGACGATATCTGCCGGAAGAATTGATGGTTGACAGTTCTAAAATGTTAAACCGAGTCTCTGTACACAATCTGTCTAGTGAATTTAGTTTTCAAATTATACCGATTGTCTTACTGCCGATAATTGAACTCAGGAGCAATCAAGTTACAACCACAGAAGATCTTACCGTATTAAGGGGTAGTTGTGTAACGTTTAAAAGTTAAACGATGTCTGCTGTTAATGTGTTCGTTTAAAGTTATACTGATCGTACTGACTGTATAATGTGTCAGTTTCGAAGTTATAACTGGCGTCTCTTGTAAAGGTGTTAGTTTAAAGTTAACGAGTCCTCTGCTACAAACGTTCAGTTTATTAGAGGGTAAAACGACGAGTCCATCTGCGGCGTAACAAAGCTGTGTCAGTTTAACAGCCTATAGCAACGGATGATTAACTGTAAGTGTGTTAGTTTAAAGTTGTAAGACGAGTCTCTGTAAAAAAAGTGTTCAGTGTAAGAGTAAGTTTGAAGACCGAGTCTCTGTAGAAAGGCTGCTGTCAGTTTATAAGAGTCAATAAACCGAACGCTCTCCTATGAAGCGAATTGTGTGTCAGTTTATCTACAAGTTAAACCCCAGGCAGTCTCTGTAAGAGTAATTGTATATAGTTGGTAAAAGTTTGCAATCCGATTCTCTGTCACCAAAATGTGATTATGTTTTTAAAGTTTTAATACCTATAAGAGTCCTACTGATATTAGATGTGATTAGTTCTAGGAAAAGAAGTTTAGGAACCTGAAAGTCTCAATGTAAATGTGTTCAGTTTAAAAGTTAAATACTCGAGGTCTCAATGTAAATGTAGTTTTTACATTGATAGTTAAACCCATCACGATGTCTCACATGATAAATGTGTCATAGATAGTTAAAGTAAACCTGAGTCTCCTGAAGATTGACTGTTAGTTTAAAGTTATAAAAACCCCCGAGTCTCTGTAAATGTGATATAGTATTTAAAGTTTATAACCAATTGATGTCATCACCGATAATGTGTTAGTTTAAAGATTATACCGGAGTCTCTGTAAATTGTGTTAAGTTATCATAAGTTAAAAACCCGAGGTCATCTGTAAATGTTGTTTGAGTATTAAAGTTAAAGCCGAAATCTAACAATGTATATAGGTAGCATTTAGTGTTAACGTCATTTTACACGCAGATATCTCTGTAAATTGTCCGTTAACCATTACAGTTATGAACCTTGAGTCTCTGTAAAAGTTTTATGTTTATTTCACAACGTTCAACACACCTTTGAGTATCTACGCTGATACTATACGGTGTGTCCATAAAGTATTAAAGTTTAAAACCCTTAGACACGGTCTCCTATCACTGCAACTACAGCAGAAAGAAGCCAGAGTCTCTGTAAAATTGTGGGTACATAGACAGTCGCCAGCTTGAGTCTCTGCGTACATAATGAATGACTTATATGAAGGATCTACCACTATTCGACAGACTGAATGTACGATAATGTGTGCCAGTGTTATATTAGTTAATACGAGATTGAAGCTTCACCTCCTGTAATGTGTGGTGCAGTTTAAAAGGTTAGACCAAGAGTGTCTGAATGAAAACTGCCATACACAACGGAAGCTGGTTATTACCATCATATCCTTCAGTTGGAAATAGTGTGACAAAGTTTAAAGTTACAAACCGAGTTTCTGTAAATTTGTGTCAGTATCCATAGGTGACAGAGCTAAAACGAATCCTGTATAATAGGTAGGAGACATAATTAAAAGTTATAATGCCATGAGAATCTTGTATAAATAATCTACTGAAACAATACAGTATTAGTAAGCTTAACCTAGTTCATATAATTTGCTGTTCAGTTTAAAGTTAAACCGATAGTCTCTTGATATATGAGTGTGTTTCTCTAGTCATATAAAGTTTAATAACGATTGAGTCTCCTCGTACCATTATTAAATGTTGTCAAGTATTATAAGATCTATAACCGAGTCTTCGTAAAATGTTGTTAAGTTTAAAGGTGTGGAAAAACCATGAGTCAACATGTAAAAATTAGATTAGGATTATTAGTAACATCGAGTCATACATGTAAAAAATCAGCAATGTTATTAATGTTTAAAAGTCAACAACCCTAGAAGTACTCATGCTAAACATGAGTGTAATCAGTAAATTTGAAAAGGTTTATGCACCCAGAGTCTCTTGTAAATTTTCTTTAGTGTAAAGGCGAAGTTTAAAGTTAAACCGAGTCTCTGTAAATGTGTTAGTTTAAAGTTAAACCGAGTCTGTCGGATATCTGCAGCTGTTACTGAGAGCTGCAGACACTGTCTGAAAGGACTCACTGTGTTCTTCAGTTCGGCTCCAACACAAACTTTACTTTACACAGATAATAAATGAAGTTTGTTCTCTTCATTAATAATCACAATGTGACGTTTATAAACTGTTCAGTTGTTTTAATGTGACAGCTTTAACTTGGTTCCTCTTATACATTTATTTATCACACACTAAAACAACACTTATCACTCTTTAAACGTTGTGTGTTCCTCCGTGTAGACACAGAACATTAAATGCAGCCTGTTAAAGCTGCAGTTTATATTAAAATATTATTGTTATATTTGCTGATTTTATCCTGATAATCTGTGAAAATATCAGGTTCCTCTTAGAGAAGTTATAGAACTGTAATAAAAGTTATTATTATTTAAAAATTACACAAATAATACTTTTTACTGTTAATGTCACTAATTTAACATAATTTTATAAATGTATTAACAGTATTAAACTACCTGAATTTAACAGTTTTATTATTAAATAAACAATAAATATAAATTATAGATTTGCAAATTATATTTTAATCTTTTTGTGTGAAATAAAGAATTTTCTTTAAATCAGTAATTTTATGATTATTTACAGTTATTTGACTATAAACATGTAAATTCACAGTTTATATTATAATTTTAATAATATTTATTTATATTTAAAAAATACAGAAAAAAACTGTAAAATAAACTGAAAACATCAGATTCAGTTTTAATAATTAATTTAATTTAATAATTTAATAATAATCCTTTAATCTGTTTAAAGTCGTACAGCTCAGATTTAAGACTCCCAGAATGCATTGCACGGACACATGGTTCTGTTCTGTCCCGTTCTGTCCCGTTCTGTCCGGTTCTGTCCCGTTCTGTCCGGTTCTGTTCTGTTCTGTCCGGTTCTGTTCTGTTCTGTTCTGTTCTGTCCTGTCCGGTTCTGTCCCGTTCTGTCCCGTTCTGTTCTGTTCTGTTCTGTTCTGTTCTGTTCTGTTCTGTTCACTTCTGTTCTGTTCTGTTCTGTTCTGTTCTGTTCTGTTCTGTTCTGTTCCGTTCCGTTCTGTTCTGTCCTGTCCGGTTCTGTCCCGTTCTGTTCTGTCCCGTTCTGTCCCGTTCTGTTCTGTTATGTTCTGTTCTGTCCGGTTCTGTCCGGTTC